GAGAGAGAGAGAGAGTAGAGAGAGAGAGAGAGAAAGAGATACTGTGCTTATGTATATACGAATGAAACGCCTATGTTTCATTCTTATATACATATATACCCGCAGACACTTATATATGCGTATACATAATGATAATGATAGTAATAATAACGATTCTGAATATTATTATTCCAATTATTATTACTATTATTATCGCGTAATGATTATTCGAGTTATTTTAATTTTTATTATTGCTATTATTAATATATTATTATTATTATTATTATTATTATTATTATTATTATTATTATTATTATTCTCGCATGTACATTTTTAACGGACTGAACGAGACGCGCTGTATTTTTTGTACATGCACGAAAAGGAACGATATATCTAAGCCGGAATCGCATTAAGATTATATAATTCGCGTGAATCCATTTTTGTTTCGAACACTGATATATCGTAGTGTGTTGTTATACTCCTTTCCTCTCCTGAGTTACACAGTCACGGAAAGCCAGTGTTTGTTATAAATAAGAACAAATTTAGATTAGATTATTGCAGTTATTGCATGCGGAGGACGGGGTATCCGTTCTGCGATTGCAAGCGCATTGTCAGCCAATCAGCGAGTAATAATATTGTAAGAGCAAGTGAACTGGACGACTCCAGAGTGGCCAAGTAGGATCCGCCGCAAAGAGTATATAAAGGTGAATCTCCGATTTCGAACGGAGAGTTTAAAAAGACGGAAAAAAAAAAAAAAAAAAACGATAATCGATGCATATCTCCGCGCGCGTACGAACGCGCGCGTTGTCCACAACGCAATCTCGTTGCCGTTAACGATCGACAAACGCTCGCTTTCGCTTTCATTCAAATTTCGCCGATCTCCTTTGACGAACAAATCAATTCAAGTCGGGAACGTTACGCATTTGGAATCCGCCGCATTTTTCGCCGAGGGACCTCGATTCCGCACCTCGAGTCGCGATCACGGAGAATCGTCCAGTGCACCGATAAACGCAATATCCACCAAGTGTTCATTGAGTTTGGTAAACGAGGCGAGAAAAGGGCAGGGGACGGGAAGAGAGGATTCGTGTACGACGAGGATCATTGCTTCCTAATTGTGTGGGAGGGGGGGCGGGGGCTGCAAGAGGAACGCAAGAAACGAAGGAGAAGAAGAGGAAGAAGAGGAAGAGGGAAACGCCGCGAAAGCAATGTCAACGTATATAATATTGAGATGAACCGAGCCGATTTAAGACGTCTTCGGATTTTATGCGAAGCACGACTCCGGGGTTGCTGTATATATTAGACAATTGATCGTAAATATAGAAGGAGATCGTGAGAAGAATATAGATAAATTAATATAGAAAGCGGTTCACATTGAACCGCTTAAACCGATTTGTTTTTTTTATTTTTTTTTTTTTTTTTTTTTTATTTTTTTTTTTTTTAATAATTTTTTACTATTTTAAAGTACTTCTATTGTTTTGGATTAAGTCTAAAAAGTTAAGC